ATTTTATTTTGTGGCTAAATTTGCCTACAGCCAGCAGCTGAAGGGATGGTGTAAAACCAGCTTGGGTCCATGCAGGTAGCAAAGGCACTGTAAGTCTCTATAGTGACTGGTGTGGGGATCTAGCTTCAGTTCTGGGCAATCTATAGCCCGTGTTTTATATTGTATTGTCTTGTTTAATTAATATGTCTTATATTCACATGCTAGTTTTATAGTCATATCTGTGATGCCCTAGTATTTTACTGTCCATCGTCGACCGGTTTTAGTCTTCAAAATGTGGGGCGGTGGGGTAGTCTAGTGGTTAAAGCGTAACGGGTTCGATTCCCCACATGGGTACAATGTGTGAAGCCATTTCTGGTGTGCCCCGCCGTGATATTACTGGAATATTGCTAAAAGCTGCGTAAAACTAAACTCACTCACTCGCTTCAAAATGTTTTCATTTCATCTTTATTGTATAAATTGTTTTCGTCACGCTATGGCTGAGATATTGCCGATGTGACTTTAAATATTAACCCACTCACTCACCCCTATCTTGAACAAACAACTTCTGGGTAAGAGATGTGGTATTCTCTTTGAAACTGACTGACTGCCTAGCTTATTAAGCATTATGGTGTAGATGAATATGTAAGCTTCAATGTGTTGGTTTGATCTTCCCAACCTGATGACACGAGTGTACATGATACAATGAAATTGTCAACGTCTGCAATGTTCACTTCTACGGTATACTAGAGTACACACAGAATCACTCCACAGACGTTAACTTCAACTTGCTTATTGACTTAGCACTCTTTATAGAAAACCAGTGATAACTCTCTAAACTATACAGTACGCTTACAGAAGCTGCACATCGATTCACATAAAAACATAGTCAATGGCCTTTTAGTTGAGGCTATGGTTAGGTATGGCTGAACTGACATGTTTATTTGAATAGCGTATTAACTGACAGGCTTTATTATCGGCTTTGGCACTCCTACACGGGATCGATGATAGCAATACGTAACAACAACTTGGTATGCTCAGGATTTAAATATTGACTACCTCACTCTGCACCTAAGATGTTAATTTAGTCACGTACACCAAATTATATGCTAGAAACCTCATTAGTTATCAGACTTCTTCTTGCACAGACTCTGAAACAGTCTCTGTATGATGTCTGGAACATGTATCTTGCAGATGCTCATGTTTATGGTTTACCCATCCTCGTATGTTGGAACAGTGTCGCTGGGTGAGTTTTGTTCATCGTGCTATATTATTGTAAAAGTAAATCTATTCACATATATTGTGTTAGTATGGTGACGTACCTTCAGTTGCTGGTGATCTCCAGCCCGTTATTCATATTGTAATGTTCAGTTTTAATTCTCTATCTGTGATAATCTGGTTATTTTACTGCCCTTCGTTTGCAGGGTTTTTTGCAAATTAATTGTGTCTATTATGAATATAACTTGTAAGTCACGATATGGATGATATATTGCCAATATGACTATCAATTGTAAATCAATTACTCACATATATTGTGCAGGTAATTGTTGAATTGATCAAATCCATTTATTAATGTTATGATGTTGCACAATGACATAGCTTTCTAAAATACCTTTGCACATACTCACAATTTGGAACGTAGTATTCGATCAATTCATATTATGAGTGCGAATGAATATAATACAAAAGAAGCTTGCGATAACTTTAAAGCAACACATTCTGCACCCATCCTTTTGTATTCCTTTCGTGGTCTTGATTGGTCAGAACAGAAAAGTCAGACTTCTGCGATCTGCCACTTTTACATGCAGAATAATGCAAGGCAGTAGATCTAACCACTCTTGCTCTTCCTTCCATCCATCCATCCATACATCCATTCACCCATCTATTTGTTAATTTATTAATGTGGAGGTTTTTGAGGACAAGGGCTTAGTGTGCATTTGTGCCTAGATCTGTGCCTAGGATGTCATCCAAGCAATATCAAATCAGCACTGAATCAGTTATACAAGGAAGCTTCCATGAACGATGACTGCATTGAATTAATCTGCAAGATACTGAGGAGAAGAGCATCCCTGTAGAGTCTTTCCATTGATGAAGTGCTGGAAAGTCCTGTAAAGAGACACAAATGTATTTCTGTGTGCTGGTCAGGTCCACTTAATTACTTCCTAATCAACACATATATGTAAAGTATGTAACAATGAAATGTAGAATGTAATGGCACTGTCCAGTACCTTATCCAGTGAATGTCCTGCAGGAGCACAAACACAGTATCATACTTTAGAACTGACATCTCTGTACTTGTTTTGACGCAGTGACCCTTCCCTAATACTCGTGTAATGCAAATTGCAGAGGGGTTAGGGAGTCTTCATATTCTCCCAAACGTTCCTGGAGGTATCGACTGGGCCGTCATTGTGGCCAGCATGGGGCCAAGGGCCCTGAGATGATCCAGCCAGACTGTGCCAGGTCCTCCACAACGTTCTTTGTTGCATGCATCTTAATATGCCAATACCATTCTTCTGTTAATGATGAATGTGAGAGTTAATTATTATTTTACAATGTTATGAAATGTGAAGAAGGGATGGCAGGTAAACCATTATGGACAATAGAAAACTAATCGTCAAACGATTTAACTATAAATGATTCAATGCTTCTCTTACCAGATATCTTACTGAACATCAAGGCATGCTCACATCCTGTTGTGTGCCATAGAAATGACTCAGTCACAATGAGTTAATGGTGACCATTTGGATGGTCTCTGCTGAGGAGCAATTTGCCGCGTGGAGAACAGGTAATATTTCTTCCATACACTGGCAGCTGTAATATATTTTACATATCAATATTTAGATTCTGATAAATATCAGCAAATGGATTTTCATTTCACTGTTTATCGGGTTTACAGACCGTGCTACTGTGCGGCGTCAGGAAAAACAAACACGTCTTATCTTGCTGCAAATTGTGTGTGTGTCAGGTTCACAATTTGATCAATCGTCAAAGTCTAAAAATGTCAAAGGTTGCCAAACAACTCTACTTTTTCTGGATTCTGAAAACTACAGAAGACTCTAAATCATTGAAATGAACAGTAACTTCATCACGACTGGTAACACCTGTTAAAAATTAACCATTCATTCTACCGAAATCTCAGGACGTACTGATGCTATTCGCGATCAAGTTGTGTTATATCTTAATTGTGTGATTGTTTCACATCATTTAACATCTTTGTGTTTACTTTTCGACCAAGTTGAACGTATGGTGTTATGACAAAAGAACAGACCATTCTCTTCCACTCTTTTACCTCCCTATAAGAGAGACTGCCTCCGTGGTGTAGTGGTTAGAGCGTCCGCCCGGAGAGCGGAAGGTCGCGGGTTCGATCCCCGACCGCGTCATACCAAAAGACGTTAAAATATGGTACTTGTTGGTTCCTGCCTGGCGCTCTGGCATTAATTGGTACAACCAGGACTGGTCGGCTCGGAGACAGTATAATGTGTCTGAGTGGGGTATTCATGCTTCACTGCAACATGGTATCTCAGTGGGCTAGCACTATAAAACCAGCCTAAGTCTGGGCTAGTACAAGCAGCCACACATACACATACACACACATGCACGTCGTCATATGAGCGAAATATTCTCAAGCACGACGTTAAACCCAATTTCACCTCACCTCACCCTATAAGAGACCAATGAAAGGGTCTCATCTGTGGCATATTTCGAACTGTGTACATATTGGACATTCAAAGAAAATTTCAATTCATTGGTGATTACAATGATGTACAAATCAAGGATGTTTAGACGTTATATGCTTGTTATATTTGTACATCTTTTCTTGTAGCAAAATGCTATTTCAACTTTCAGTGAGATCGGTACATGGGGAAATGGGGATCCTGGCATCGCTCTCTTCCTGTCAGCGTCAATTCAGTCCCTCCTCCTACAGGGACGACCTCAACGTCAGCCTCTGTTCCGTGATCTGCCCCATGTTCCTTTCAAACCATGAAATATACATGAAGTCAGTGTTCAACGTCACAAGTACAAAGCAGTCTTACTTTGATGCCCTCATCAGACCCGATTCCATGGAAGACGTCATGAAAGGCATCACCTCAACACTGAACCATGTGAAGTGGAAGACATTCGTTGTTATAACTTCATCTTATCGAGGTAGGCAATAAAACACCCATGCTGAAGACATCAACCCGATCAGTTTTCCACATTTTCAACAGTCAGCTATGAATATGCAGTCACTCCACAACTTGGAATACTACAACAAATAGAAATGAAATACCTTTAAGCAAGACCACAACTTATGTAATATGGCGGTAGATTACAGATTGAGTATTTCTGATACAGTGGTCAATAATGCACAACAATCAATGAAGAACAATGAATGAAGTGAATAAAGTTCATGTATCATGATATACCGAATGCGCAAATACGAAGACAATAATTTCCATGTTAAATGCTTATTTGTGACATTTACTATCAGCATTAGTGTTCAGTTACAATAGTTAATCCGTGTGGAGTAACATATGTTTGATTAGTTTTAATAGTTCTCTAATACAACACTCATTTTTGTCAAAGGTTCTACATTTATCATTTCAAAATGAAAACACCAAAGTCTAAATGCTTTGTAATATATTGACTAAACATATACAGTAAGCTAGTAAACATCCTGTCAGAAAATTATTGAGATCTCAGTAAATAAAGTTATATCCCGTAACTCACACACTTGCAATGATATTTACAGTTTTGACTGCACTATCTGGGGGCAGACTGGCTTCGATCAAGTTACTGCTGTATATGATAGATGATCCCAGCAATCCACTTGAAAGTATTGACCTGGCCAGTATCTACCAGCTGCTTCCGGAGGAGGACCTCAACTTTTTTGTGGTGTGTCCATCCGACTGTATACAGAAACTCCTCAGTCAGGTAGTGCTTCCGGTCTTAACTAAAATAACAGCAGTTGCTTTCTGTAACATGTTATATTTGAGATTACACTTTCTTAGTGAAGAACAAATTCTAGTACTTTTAGGGGAGGGTGGGTCCCATCCGGGATTCGAACCCACACCCTCAGAGTCCGTCACCTAATCGCCAGCACACAAAGTTAGAGGCCTAATCCGCTGAGCCACCGCGACTTCCCTGAGGGTGGGATGGGGGACCCAACCCCAAAAAGCACTAGAATGTGCACTTTACTTAGAAAGTGTATGTATATTTCACCACTTTCTAAATGGCATTGTGTAATCAGTTGTTTTCTGGACAAAATTAGATTCCACTCCCTGTGTATAATACAATAACAATAAATGATAAGTTTTCTATGATCGTAACATCGACAGTTTCTACAAGTACTTAGAGGTACAACAATAATGTGTTGCTTGCAATTGGGCAAACTATTGATATAAAAAATACACAACGTAATATTATATTGTCGCGAATAAGGATTTTACGAAAGCTGTGACAGTCTCTCAAGTTTCAAAAGAGATTTCCTTGCTCATAGGACAGTTTATAATGCCAATGATTGAAGCTTAGCGCCTGCTGTGTGGAAATCAAATGTCTATGTATTGGCTTGAAAAGATTGCTAACGTAATAAAGATGATGAAATTTGATATGTGAAGAAAATGAGTGTGGAATGAGCTGACGATGTGCAAAATATTATATTGGCAGGCTCGCTGGCTGGAATCAAACATGTCCGTGACGAGGTCAATAGGGGCTTCTCAATGGCTGGTGGTACCTTCCACCGGAAGTGTCACGGACATTGCTCTCAGTCATGAATCAGTCAAAACTGATGATGTTGTGTTTCTGGACTTCATGCCGTGTTCGAGGCATTTTTCACCGCTGGTAAGCACATAATGGTCTTGCGTTAATCTTATACAAGTGAGTGAGTGGGTTTAGTTTTACGCCGCACTCAGCAATATTCCAGCTATATGGTGGCGGTCTGTAAATAGTCGAGTCTGGACCAGACAATCCAGTAATCAGCAACATGACTGACTGACTGACTGAGTTTGGTTTTACGCCGCATTTGCAATATTCCAGCAATATCACGGCGGGGACACCAGAAATGGGCTTCACACATTGTGCCCATGTAGGGATTCGAACCCGGGTCTTCGGCGCGACGAGCCAACGCTTTAACCATTAGGCTACCCCACCGCCCCTCAGCAACATGAGCATCGGTCTACGCAATTGGGATACGATGATGTGTCAACCAAGTCAGCGAGCCTGACCACCCGATCCCGTTAGTCGCCTCTTACCACAGGCATGGGGTTTCGAAGATCAATTCTAACCCGGATCTTCACAGGTATGATGTTATATAGGAAAGGACAAGCGTTAGGGTCGGAAGCCTCTACAAAATTGCAAAGAAAAGGTGTCGCTTCATTGAAACCTTTAGGAAAAATTACCCACTTGTCAACAGAATAACGATGTGTCCGTGAACCATGTGATTATTTCTAGTTGTATTGATGATGCATTTGGAAAGATGTCATGTTTACAGAACCCAGAGCTTATCATGAAGACACTATCAAGCTTATCAAGGAAACAAACAATAGAGCAGGAGGTTGACAGTCCAGAATGGATACAGAAGGTATTTCTCACTATCTAAAGCCAAAGCATAACTGTTCATGAGTTTCAAGTGGCTTCGTTGCGTGACACTGTTCAGAATGATTGAACCTCAGACTGTCAATAAAATGCTCTACTACAAATTCCTTTTTTGTAAATAACTTTTAAATATCTGAGAACTTCGAAAAATCATAATTGTATCTGGCTAGTCAGTAAGTTAATACCGTTGTATTGCTTAACATTGGCGTAAACACCTTTGTTTGATAATGTTGTTGTATTGTGTGAGTAGATTGGTGAAGTCCATTCTTTAAGAGGAGCACAGGAAACCATGCTTCTCGAGTCATTTAATCGTAACTTCTTTGAGAGATTTTGTCATGATTGATTTTGAATGAAAATATCTTTCGTTTATGATATTCTACGTATAAATGAACCGTACTGACAATTAATCAATCTAAACAAAATGAGAAAAAAATACCACCGTATGCTTTGGGATATGATTTGAGTTTGAATTTGTGAAAATCACAAAGTTAGAAATAATACACAACTGATGATATGTATCTTAGACAACGGCATTGGTTAGCCAACACTTGTATTACAATTCTCCGTCATGAACCTGCATTGGTCAGCTATTGTAGTTACAATACACTCTTCAGAAAAAAGAAAACGCATATGCCAAAACTACGGTAATTTAAGTTTACATAAGTCGAGATGACAAGAATTTATGGATGATCGACTTATTTTTACAAGAGCGACGTTTCTGTAGAGACTCGTATACCGTTTTCAAGCATATGGTGGAGTGATGGGTACACTAATTTATATACAAGATGCTTGTACATATGATAATAAGATAACAATAACAAAGGTGAGATAACAAAGCATCAAAGGATGTTACATGATGAGCTACAAAAGCATATATGAGTGGGATATGAATGGGATTACCATGACAATTAGTGAATGTAAGTTGATTAGGCAGAAGCCAAAGAGGTGGGGGATTAATTAGTGGGAAACCTGTGGTGAGGAATGTCAGTAAGGCAGGTATAAAGAAGATAGAATGGGTTGAGTGGATAATTATTTGTCAGCTGATGGGATGTAATAGCCCTGATTCTTATTAATAGAGGGGTTAAAACGGCGTCTTTGTAATGCCTCGGCCAATCCAATTTACGCTGAGTGTAATCATGTGTGTTGTTATCCCCCGCAACGCGTTTTGCGTCCGTGCGTCCGTCTGGCATATTCGTCTTTTCGGAGCAGAACTTTTAAACCGTTCAAGCTTTCTTCACCAAACCTGGCACATATATAGATCTGGTGGTGTTCTGGTGTTTTTTGCTAGTTTTGAATTTCTGAATAAAATACGGTTTGCGTTTCCAAGGCAACAATTTTGACTTCGACTGAATTTGGTGGCAGTGCTCCTTTGTGGGGCAGAACTTAATAACCTTTCAGTACGCCTTCCACTGTGCTAAATACACGCCAAAACATTTGACATGATGATAACTAGTAGTCATATTCATGAAGAGTATTTTGCCTTTGCGGGGGATACTGATAATTTTGCTTTCTTGTCTGTAAGTGTTTTGACAGTGTCCCAGTAGATCCTGTGTTGAGGAAATTTGGTGCCTGCCTTGTTTGTAGATGTCTTATGTTCTTTGATGCGTATGTTGAGTTTTCTGGATGTTTCACCAATGTATTTGCTGCCACAGTCGCAGCTCATGTTGTAAACCACACCTTTAGGCTGTTGTTTATTTGGTCTGTTTCCAACCGCTTGCCTGATTGATAGTTTTGAGAGGTGTGGACGTGGAGAAATAAGCGTCTATGCCTACTTGCTAGTTAAGTAAGCGACTGATGTGTTGTAATCATGTTTTGCCGATGTAGGGTAGTGAGATGCAAATGGGAGCGGAGTCGGGCTTGCTAGTGGTGGGATTTTTTTTATAACAAACGTTTACAAACACATTTTGGGATGCGTTTGCACGTAATACACAAAACCACGACATGATTAACGGGATTCAAACATAGGAATTCAGAGCTCCAGATAAGATTTAGCTCTTGTGGGTACTGTACCCACTGTATTTTTTGGAGTGGGTATTATGAATGTTGAGTGGGTATTTCATTTTCCGTTACCCACTGCTTTCAAATATGTGCGTATTTCAGTCATTTTACTAAGCAGGTATGTTCTGCCTTATGTCATACCTAATCAAAACCAAGTTAAATATAATGGAAATGATTTCATAAAAAATCACTCATCCTATACTGACAGTACAACACTAGTCCTATACGAACAGTACAACTTGATAGCAATCGATGTCTTTGTCATTACGCAAGCGAATTTTATAAATATATTCCGTACGCATTTGTTTTAAACTTTTTGCGTATCTAACATTTTAAATGCGTAATTGGTACGCAACAAATATTTTTCAATGCGTAATTGGAAATTTTCTATGCGTATTTTACCCGGATACGCAGTTTATCTGGGCCTCTGGCCGGAATTGTCTTAATGATGATTGCTGTCAAAATATATTGAAATGAACTGCTGAAAACGCCTATGCGTTTCTTTTTAAAGAGTGTATATCTGTCTTCATACACTTGTCAAATCTGACAAAGGTGTACAGATACCACTCGTCGACACAAATGAATGCTATCTATTTTTTGCAGACTGAAAAAAAAGCGAATCTTCCATTCTGGCCAAACTTCAAGTTCTCAGACCAAGCCATACAGTAAAAGATGTCGAAACCTTTGGCAACATTGGGAGAGATCACTCTTTAGAAGTAAAGCATCAACTCTATCACGGCAGCGAATATGGATTTCACAACCGAACGTTAATTGTCGGGATTCTAGAGGTGTTTATATTGCACTTGATGCTGTTTTTAACTTTGTTCCTACTTATTATGATCATCATAAGATCATTAATTTTCTTCCCTTTGCCTTAAAAACATTTACATCCTTTTTGATAGTATTTACTACATTGATTTATATATGTATCAGGATGCATTGAATCTATAACTCTTTTACACTTGCCAGAAACAATTGTCTGAGAGTGTTTGACTTAGGCCTTAGACGGGGCATTGCCTGAAAGAATGTAATTGATGATTGATAAATAAGCTCGAGACATATATGAAGTACATTGCTTTATCAAAATAATTGGTCGTCAGCAATATATAACTATCAAAAGTAATCTATGGCGTGCATGTACTGTGTGTTTAGACACTTTTAAAATTGGTTGTAATCTGGAATCTTCTAGAACAGGATACACAAAATCAGCATGGTATGGGCAATTCTGGAAGTATGTTTAAGACTATGTGAGTTACTGATTCTATCATCATCGTTACATCAAGGGTCATTTTGACAATAACTAATATGATACAAAACATTTATTACGCAACAGCCCCTTCATGAACATGTCATTATGTCAGGCTTGGTATTTTGGGGTTATTTATAATTCAGGTTATTCATGATTGATTAAAGTATGCAATCAATGCAATCAAGGCTGATCTCAAGACCAATGTCTTCTCTCCATTCCCAAAGTTCTCCTTCTTCCTTTGGCAAGAGGTCTTTCCAGTACGCTGGTCCTACTCTGCAGAATTCTCTCCCTCTCCACACAAAGC